TCCACATGAAGTCACAGTATACTGAATCAGGCTATTGGTCTATGAAGTTCCCTATTGTCTACTCTGGATGGCACTGGGTCCCTAGAATCTTGGGTTGGAATCAATGCTCCCTCTAAGCTGTGGAGTCTTGTGAGAAAAAATTCTACTTTGTGAGCTACTGGCATTAAAGTTGTGAGTGATTTGGCTACTGCATAAATCAATTTGCTCTGGAGCCATCCTTCCTGAACTAAGACAAAAATGTGTGAGCCAGAGGCTAAAAAACTGTGAGCTAGCTCACACTAACTCAGCTTAGAGAGAACACTGGTTGGAAAGTTTCACATCATCTGCTACTTGATCCTTTAAATGGAGACACCAGAGACAAGCCTGGAACCTTCTGTGTGCAAGGCATGTGACCTAAGGCACCTTCTCCCAATGGCAGAGAACATATTTTGTATGTCAATCCAAGTAGACAATATTGAGAACCGATTGATCAATACTCAGTCTAAGACAGCTTTACAAGTGTTTGTGTGTCAGGGGAGCAGTGGAATCTCTAGTTAGCATCCTTAAACCTTCTCAGTCTAGACTGCCACTCTTAATATCAATTAAAAGTTACACCAGTAAAAAATAAATATTCCCATACTCCCATTGCGAGAAATTTGTTGATGAGAATGGGCTCTTTTCATTTATTTTTCTCCCGAAGTGATGGGACATTTTTATTATTAATTAGCAAATGAGAGTGGCAAGAACAACTTTTTGGCAACTTATTTTATTTTCTGCACAGAACTGTGCTGAAAAGTACTGAGCCCCACCAACATCCCACAGCACCTAGGGTTCAGCTGAATGCTGCCCAGCACCAAGAGAGTACTCTCCCCATGATCCCTTGGTCACACAATCAATAAGTGGCTGGCTTAGGAAAAATCCCTTCATCAACAGATGCCTCAAGATGCTCGCCATGGAGCAGCCCAAACAGAAACTGCAGATAAGAGTTCAAACCCCTAAAGTGAATGGGTAAGAATACAGCTAATGAGCATGCCCCAACAAGTAAATCCCAAAGCATGGGTAACTCCAAGGGGGAATGAGTTATAGGAACAGGAAAAGGGGGCACAGCAAGGATCTGTGATTGGTGCTTGACTTTCTGCTTTCTTCCACCTCTGTTCTAATGCAGACTAAGTGTATTCTCATACATAAACAACTGAGAATCACCTCGTTCCTTCAAATCTGAGTTGGTTGGGATCAACAGGTCTGCAGGTAAAGTTGAGACTGGCTGTGTAGAAGTCACAGCCAAACACTTGGTAGTCATCTTAATGGCTGACTTTGAAAAAACTGGTTTAGATGGCTATTTCACTGTGAAAGTGGACCTGAAGTCGATGTCTCAGTCACTGAATCCAAAGCACTTAGCCCCCACGGTGAGTACAGCTCTAAGGTACAAAGAGTGATTGAAATATGCCTGCTTCAAGAATTTCTGGCAACGCAAATCAAAATTGGGACTTTTACCAAGACAATAAAAGACACTTAACGGTGTCTGTCTATGGAGGGCAATTTGCCCTCACAGTCTAGGCACTTCTTGAAAGTAATATATTCTGCCGCACAACAGTGAAGAGGGATGAGGAGCAGGGTTGCTAGGGGAATGGGAAAGCAGAGAAGATCTGCCAAGTCTCTCACTTTTCATAAGATCCAATCCTGTACTTTCACTAACATCTGGACTTTTATCAAATTTGCATCTTACTGCACGTTCTCCAATGGACACCACTCAAGAGTTTAACAATCCTGACTATTAAATATCCTAATATCCCCTGTTTCCCATATCTAAAATAATCAAAATGATCCAATACTATAGTTTATGTATGTTATAGTACAAACTAAATACTGAACACAACAGTGATTCATAGTAAAAAGCCAGCTCTGGGATTCTGTCACATACTACCATGATTGAGAAATACAACCAAAGAGAAAGAGACACAAATGAAGACGTACTTAAAATACATTTATCTCACTCTCAAGCACAGCTGAACAACAAGACCATTCAAAAATGACGTATGCTTCATTCATGGTTGGAAATGTCTATTAATATACTCCTGGAGTGGAGAGGGAATGATGAAAACCTATTCAATTTTTTTTTTTTGGTTTTTTTAATAGTCTAACTGGAACGGGGCCCTGATACAATTATTATGCTTTAATTGTGTATAAGTATCACAAATATAAGGCTTCAGGTTGTTCTTGAATTTCCAAATACAGCAAGAGTCTCTCATGGCAAACAATGTGACTGCAATAGGACTGCATAATATTCTTGAGCAAAAACATGATTGTTTATTTGTCTGGCCCTGGTCAGACTTGTGTATTATTTACTTTTATGTATTAAATTAATTTTTGCCACCCTTCCCCACTTATGTGGGGCTCATGGTTCACAACTATTTGGTTTGCTACAATGTAAAATAAGTTAAAACCATAACCCATAAAACCATGTAGGAAGACCCTGTCCTCTCTGGAATGAATTTTCACCCCTTTTTGCACCTTTCTCATATTATGGATATGTTCAGAGAAAATTTCCTGTCTCTTCAAAATACTTTTTAAGCTCCACTGGTAGAGATTTCCTTCAAACAACATAAATTCTCTAAACATATTCTAACTAAATAGCATGTCTTCATTCAGTTTCACAAATTTAAGCAACTATTTTGTCCTCAAACACAGATTTGCTAAGTGATAAAGCCAAAAAATATCAATAAGTCACCTGAGGAAAATCTTCCCTGCCAAATGGAATTATAAAACCATACTATTTATAAATTACTAAAGGCAAGATGAAGAGAGGACAAACAGTCAAAACAGCCAGCCCTGTGGCATTGAATATTAAATAATGATTATACTGTATGACGACCTTCCCAAAACTAACCATAGTTTTCAGCCCCTGAATATTCAAATTCTGAATCTAGACAGAGATTTGGAGAAATACATGGGCCATGCTGTTGTTTTAACCTAAAAGTAGTAGGGTTGCCAGGTCCTTACCTGGCTTCCAACGGGGGGCTCCCAGGTCTGTTCCGGGATCGCTGCAATGATGTCACCTGGAAGTAATGTCATTGTATTACCACTGTTGGGGGAGGGCGCTCTAGTTTTTGGGTAAAACCCTATGATTTGAGCCCAATTTTACCATAGAGTTTCACCTAAAAACTAGAGTGTCGTCCCTCTGACGTCAGCACATAATGACATCACTTCCAGGTGATGTCATCACGTCGTGTTGGGGGCTATTTGCAAGTAGGTTTCCCCCCATCAGCCAGCTGGCCGGTGGTGGAAAAAGCCCCACAAAAGCAGGGGAACCCCCACCCAGACCAGGAGCCTGGCAACTCTAAAAAGCAGCTTTGTTGAAGTACATGTCTTACAGGGCTGAAAACATGTTTAAGCATACTTGTAAAACACATCAATAAAATATCCTCATACAGCTTGCAATCTCACAATCAATGAAGACAAATGGACATCTTATATGTTAAACTGATATCAAATCCTGAAAAATAGTAAGACACTTTTAAGCAGACAGCACTGAAGTAATTAGCTCTCAATTTAAAAATACTGCAGTAGAAGAAAGCCGATGGCTGAATGCAAATGTTGCAGCAAGGGCCCAGGGGCCTGTTCTGCACATTCAAGCAAGACTTTGGTTTGGTTGACTTGAACACAATTCTCCCCCCACCACCACCAATCGCCAGCTCTGGGTTGGAGATTTTGGGGGTGGATCCTGGGGTGGGCAGAATTTGGGGAGGACAGGACCTCAGCAGGGTATAATGCTATAGCCCTCAAAAGTGCTCTTAGGTCGGTTTAATAAAATTCCCCTATATGAAAGGTTATGTTCATGCCCTTTAAAATCTGTGGATTCCATATATATTATTTTTAATGCTATAGAGTCCACCCTCCAAAGCAGCCATTTTTTTCATGGGAACTGATCTTGATTAGCTGGAAATCAACTGTAATAGCAGGAGATCTTCAGGTGCCACCTGGAGGACGGCAATCTTACCCCCTTCACCCCATACCAAACTGTATTTGAAACGGAGAGGACTTTCCAAAGCAGTATGTAATATGGAATGGAAGTCTGTGGTTCAATACTCTCAACGAAAGACAAAATGAGACAAAAGCCCAGTGGCACCTTAAATACCAACAAAATTTATTCCTGCATTTGATTAAGTGAGTTGAAAAGCTCATGCTGGAATAAATTTTGTTAGTCTCTAAGGTGCCACTGCAGTCTTACTTTATTTTGTGGCTACAGACTAACAATTCCCCATCTGGAATTATCGAAAAAAGACAAGAATTATTAGTCACATTAGTACCATTGTGATTCACACTGCATTTTTATGCACTTTTATGCCCTGGCTGGTTTTCATCGACATTTTTTATTGACTTGGTTTGCTTTATTGATATGTTCTATTGTTTGTTTACTTGGTTTTGTATTCTTGTTGTAAGCCACCTCCAGCAGGTCTGGAGAGGTAGCCTACAAATTTGCTAAATAAGTAAGAACAATCGCTTTAGCCTGTCTATAACAAATAAAGTATTTCATCGAAGTGTTACAATACAATCTTCCTTTTATTAGTTTGTGGCATTATTTATACACTGCTTTTCAAAGGTATCTTGAGGACTTCATAAACTTATTAATTTTAGTTGTCATCTTTGTGCTTTTAAGAAATGAGAAGGAAAATACCTGGCAAAAGAGTTCTTGGGAACATGATGTGCCGTTTAGACCATCACAAGAAGCAAACCAAGTCCTAGTTAACTGATACTTCCAACTATTATCAGAATTCTTGTTCACAGAACAGGTCTCCTTCGGAGAAATAAAATGCTCCTTTCCCCCCATTTGTGGTTCTAATGCCAAAATTAATATCTGCAGAACATACTTCATGCAGAGGAAAACATATTTTGAATTAGGAAGATACACATGTCGTAACTACTGTAGTGATTTTTTTTTTGCATTCATGACATTTTATACTTGTATGATGAATTCAAAGAATTCAATTTGAAATGCGGTAACTTAATTAGTTCCAACTCACTTTTGTGCTCCCTGAGACAACGGCTTTGTCCACATTCACTGGTAGCGACTCTTCAGTCTGGCATGCTCCCAGTGACCACTCCGCACAGCGGTGATGAGCCCAGCAGTGACCTGACAGGCAATGATGAGCAAATGAATGGGTCAGTTTTAAAACTTTTTAATTCATACTTTAAACATTTTAAAGACACCTTTTTCCCCAGTTTCAGGCAGTGAACAATAAAAGTATTAAGACAAGATTAAAAGCACATATAAATATATCAAAACAAAAAAAATGCATAAAGACTCGAATGGGAGAAAGAGTCAATGAGAATCTGCGAGGGGACGCGCCAGACAAAACAAAAAAAGTCTTCACCCACTGGTGCGAGACGATGGTAGAAGGGAATAATCTGGGAGCAGATTCCATAATTTTGGTCCCATAGCCAAGAATGCCCTTCCTCAGGTTGCCGCTCATCTAGTTTCAGATGTCAAGGGCACCTGAAGTAGGGCCTGTAATGGCTGGGCAGGTTCAAATGGGAGGAGACAGTGCGTAAGGTGTGCTGGCCCCAAGCCACGTAGAGCTTTAAAGTCAATACCAGCACCATGAATTGTGTCTGGAAGTAGACTGGAAAGTGCACAGATGGAACAAGATTGGAGTAATATGGACCCCATGATCCACTCAAGCCAGAATTCAAGCTGCATTGTTCTGGACCAATTGTAGCATCCGGACACTCTCCTAGGGCAGCTCCATGCACAGCAGTTTACAGTAGTCTAATTTAGATATTTCAAGGGCATACACTGCTGTGGCCAGATATTTTTTATCCAGGAAAGGCTGCAGCTGACTCACCAGCCAAAGCTGCTGAAAGGCACTACTGATCAGCGCCACCACTTGCTTTTCCAGCAGGAGTCCTGGATCCAGCAGCCCCCCCCCCCCAGCTATGAACTTGCTCCTTTAGGGGGAGTGCAAACCTATCCAGAACAAGAGACACCTCAAATCCTGGGTCCATCCTTCCTCCTACCAGTAGTACCTCCATTTTGTCCAGCTTATTAGCCCTTGTACATCCCCAAACTGCCTCCAGGCCCCAGGTTCACAGTTCCCACAGCCTCCCTGGGATCCATTGGGAGTGTGAGGTAAGAGCTGAGTATCATCTGCATATTGATGACAACCCAGGCAAAGTCTCAGGATGACAAGATGGACTCTTGCCAGAGGTGAAGTAGCAGAGCAGCAGTCCACCCGCACCACCCTCTGAATCTATCTTCCAGGTAGGACCAAAATCACTGCAGAATGGTGCTTCCCATTCCTAACCCTGCAATAAGGATACCATGACCAATAGTATCAAAAGCCAGTGAAAGGTCCAGGAGAATCAACAAGGCTAAACTCCCCCCATCCAGCTCCCAGTGCACATGATGTTCCAGGATGACCAAGGCTGTTTCAGCCTCATAGCCAAGCCTGAAACCAGACTGGAATGGATCCAAACAATCTGTTTCATTCAGAGATCCTTAGAGTTGTCCATCTACCACTTGTTCAATCGCATTACTCATGAATGGCACATTTGAGACTGGGCAATAGTTATTCAAGTCTGCTGGATCCAGAGTAGATTTCTTTAGGAGTGGGAACACACTGCCTGTTTCAAGGCAGGGGCAACCACCCCCTCTCCTGAGGAAGCATTTTTGCCTAAGAGTGCTTGCCTTACTGGTTCAAAAAGAGAAAACAAAGTGGAAAATGTGAACCAGATGCTTAGAAATTGTCAGATTCATTTTAATCGAGCATGGAGCAGATAGGGTTGGACCCACAACAACCCCAGGACCCAGAAACCCCGGGGACCAAGGCCAAGGCAGTGATAACCTGGCCTGCCTCCTTACCAGGCAAAACAGCAGCAGGGAGACTGGCGGGGAGAGCTGAGGCCAGGTCAGGGGAGATGCTGCAGAAGAATGCAGCAACTGGGTGTGGCCACTCCGAGATGCTGGGGCTGGGTATGAGAGGGCAGGGCAGAGCAGAGATGACAAGGCAGGAGGTGGGATGTGGAAGCGCAGGCGAATCGGGGAGAGCAGGCAGCCCTGCCCTGGGATTGTGGATTACCGGCTCCTACTCACTCCCAGGACCTGTCCAAGCTGCAAGGGAGAGCAAGGAGGGGCTGGGAGATAGGAGGAGCCAGTAACTGGGGGGGGGGGATTGACTGATGGGGGAAGGAACCAATGGGTGTGTGTGTGCTGGTATAAAAGGGAAAGCTTCGAGTATGGCTAAGGAGGAGGAAATTGAAAGGGACTCTGCTTCTGTCACTCCCACAGGAGGAAGAAAGCATGACGACCAATGTGGAGAAAGAGGGTGCTGTAAATCCCCTCCCCTACTTCAGCTGAGATTCTGAGGCCTGAGGACTGACCCTGCGGAGGAGCCAGCAGAGGCAGAACAGGGGCGGGCACTCGGTGTTTGCGACACTGATAAAATTTCAAGCCAAAAACAAAAGAAGAGTCTTATGGTACCTTTCAGGCTAAAAAACCCATTGTAGCATATGCTTTCATTTCTAATCAATAACTGACAGATGTTCTGCATTTGGCTAACAGCCTCTTATAGCAAGAATTGGTAGAGAAGTAATAGCATTTTTTCTCTATGAGTATATTCTGAGAAGAGACAGATTTATTTACAAACCAAAGATCCAAGAGAGATTCACCTCTGCAGTTAGAGGAAGTTTCCTTGGCCTGTTTTCATATGAGCTGCCTCTAAGCATGTGCCATATAAATTAATTAAGATTGTAACACAATTATTTATTTTACTTGAGTGTTTTTCTAAAGGCTGTAGATGAATATCTCATTGTTTTCATTAGAGGTTCCATCCCTTCCCCTTATTGCAGCTCAACAACCAACCTATTAAGATGTGGAAGCCAAAGGCATAGGCTGTATACTGGCCAATGAAATATTTCATCAATGCCTAATGGTCTGAATTGCACTTTTTCAGGATACATGCTCTCCTAATGGTACATTACGGCATGACTCATGCATTACAGAAAACCATAGTTTGCCAGTATGCGAGGAGGCCTGGAGAATTACTGGGTTTGTATGCTTCATTCTCCCCTCATGCACGGCCAGCTAATAAGCTTTTTCTGCTTTCACGAAAATCGGCTGGGATGTAAAAGCAGAATACAGCTTGCCAGAAAACCAGAGTATAGTTCAGAAGGTATTTGACAACAGCAAGCTTGAGATAGCTAAGCAGCTTTGGATATAAACAATGCCTGGATGGCAAACCAATTGGAAACACTATGTATGCAACATTGAGTTGTGTGCAGGTAGAAAGCAGGTAAAAAAAAGGTAAAAAAAAATCTCTAACTGATCACATGCAAGCCCAAGAATTTTCCCAGCATCCTTCATGAAGTAAAAAACCATGAGTTGCTATTATATATAAGCCATGTCAATAATTTTATTGTAATTTTAGCTGAGGAAAGGTGACTATGACGTAGTATGAATCATTAGCTTTAACACATCCTGAGCTTCAAATATTAGTATGCAAATATCTTCAAATATTTTTATAATGAATATATATCCATATGCAAACAACTGTAACTCAGTTCTACAAAGCTAAGAGAGAAGAGCGGATTTTGAAGCCACATGTTTTTGGTTTACAAATATAACTAAGTTACTGCTCATATTACTGGGGAGAGGTTAAAGCTCAGGTGTTTGCATCCAAGTGTTCCAGGGCCAATCCCTGGCATTTAAACTTTAAAGTATCTCAGGTAACAGGTCTAGGAAAGACCTCTGCCCAACATCAGCTGGAGTAGATGGTTTGCTACAGTATAATGTATCTTCATATGCATAAACATCAAATAAAACATTTACAGGTGAACTAAGGCTGCGGTCACACGGAACATTAGCCACGCTAGAGAGACGGAAGATAGGCGGATTTTCCGGGTGCGATCTCACCGCCACATCTGGGAAACGTAGAGCTCCCGTGGCTCACCCAAGGCTTCCCTCCGAAGATGCGGTTTAAAAAACTAGTACCTCCGAGGTGCTCGTTTCCGGAAACCGCGGGGCAAGGGCGAGCGTCTGATCGCGTTTCCGGAGGTAGTTCCAGCGCCCGCCCATGTCCCCTAGCTAAAAGGTGTTTTTTTTCCAAGTCTCCACGGATGCGCACGAGCACCCAACGGAGCATGCGCAAACTTTAGTTTAATAAAAAACCACACAACTTGGCAGCTCGCTAAGACTTGAGTTGTGCAGAGAAGAGGAGAGCAGCCAGAAGAAAGCAACAAAGAGCACACGGCTTGAGGCGAGAGACAAATAGATAGGGGGAAAGGGGGAAAGGCAGAAGATAAAGCGGCTGAGACAAAGCCCAGAAGGGGGGGGGGCGCGACAGCAGAGTAGGAAGTCTGCTTGGAGAAGGGGGGGCACAGCTCAGGAGGGTGGCACTCACCGTGGCCTCGAAGACAGGTGCTGGAGGAGCCAGTGGAGAAGGAGGCGCGGTCAGGGCGGAGGGGGCTGGGCCATGCTGCTTTGCCCTCTTCACGCGCCCCACCAGCCGGCTCCCCGGACTGTTGCCCTTGCAGAACCACTGCCCACCCCCTGCCTGCCTCACTGGTGGGAAAAAAGCCGTGCCTGACGCGACGCCGCACCGCCCAGTCGGCCACTGGCCCCTCCTCTCCCCAGTGCTGCTTGGCCGGCTGTCTCTGGCAGCCCCCTCCTCGCCTTCCCTCGGCGCGCGGCCCCCACGTCTTTGCCCCGTGGCCCTGCTTTTTTGCCGTGTGATCCGCACCTCCCCCTAACCACGGGACCTCCACGGAAGGTCTGATCACGCAACCGTGCATTATTTTGCCCCGGGGCAAACAGCCACGCTCCCCCCCCCGCATTTTCCTGGCCGTGTGACCGGACCCTATGTCAGAAAAACTCAAAATTTATACTACAGTATTAATGACAGATCTTACAACATAGCCTTAGGGCAATAATTCATTGTTTGATCTTTGATACTGATATTATGAAAGAACATCCATATTTATATGGTTATAATACTGCTGCTGTATTTTACTATCATTTCTAGAACTATATTTAATTATATAAACACCCATACTATTGAAGCAGTAAATCATGAACTGTTTGGACTGGGGTGGCATTCTTTTCAATAAGCATCTTGGAAGTTAGTTCCTTACCTGTTGGCTCAAATAAGGCTTGGACATCAATGTCATCTGGTAGGCCAACCATTTTGAGTTCATCCCAGATTCTGACTACTTGATCATCAGGAGTAGTTTGAGTGCTTATACTTGTACATGATGTTATACTCTGATGAGACTTCTCTCTGCATATGAGACACAAGAGTTGGTTATATAACTGCAACTACCATAATTTACATTACAAGCTAGTGTATGCTATTTTTAAATATTGGGGAGGGGAAATGAACAAAACAACATTTTATTTATTTATTTATTTTGAGTGGCTGACACACACATTTAGCTAAGTAAGACATGGCTATATTTTAGATTATATTGTTAGTACCTCCTTTGTCCAACTAATAAGCCTGGTTTATTCTAGGGCAACTCCAATTTATAACACATATTTTATTTCAGATAAACTTCTACTTCTAATTTATTCTGAACAAACACCTATCCACAGAATTAGGGCTGCAACAAACTATATATGTTTTCAAGAGGGGAACAGGATCTGGGAGTCTATACAGAAGAAAAATAATTGGGCACAAGGACTTCTGTTATCCAAAGCTGCAGCTCTATGGAATATATGGGAACAAAGAATGTTACTCCAGAGCTGAAGATGTTTATGATAAACTTTATTTTTATTCTTAGTAATCACCATCTAAGGAGAGAAATTTGTGGGGGGTTTCCTCATAATTATTAGTCTCAAACAGAAACAAGCAGCCACAATAACATTGCACTTGGGAATATATGGTGGATAGGGTCATATTAAGAATGTATCTGTTCCCTACTTTTGGAATCTGCAAGGAACTGCCCCCCGCCCCAGCTTGCTGGGTAACCTTGAACCAGTCATACATTCTCAGCGTAACCTACTTCACAGGGTTGTTATGAGAATAAAATGTAGGCAAGGAGAACAATGTAAGAAATTCTGAGTCCCCACTGGGACGAAAGGTAGGACATAAATGAAGTAGATTAAATAAATAAATAAATAAATAAATAGGCAGTTCCCTCAATAGCCTATTCTATTGAATGAATCAGAGCTATTTGTTTCTACCCTGTAAACTCTTAGCCAATACAGCCCAGGCTTGGAGACCAAGCACCATAAAATGACAGCTAAGAAAAGACTAGAGATCAGGAAAGCCACCAATGTGTGGCAGCAGATGAAGTGCTCAGCTAGGGTTGCCATTCCCCTGGTGGAGCCAGAGGATCTCCCAATTTTGGGTGGCCCAATCCGCCACAGCCCAGCTGGTTGGCGGAGAAAACCCCACCCTCAAGAAGCCTCCTCCCAGCTTTTTATGAATGTTGTAAGCCAACGTTATATTATACAAAGTATAATGACAATAAATTAGTAGATAATAGAAAAAATAACCAAGGCCTTGTGGGATAGCATGGAAGACTTAAAAAAAAACCAAGCTTTTAATACAAACATTAACTATTTGCTTTGTTTCATATTAGTTATAATTTTGTGTAAATGGGAGAAATTTTGTATATAAGGAAAGCCCAACCTATAGAGTTATTGAGAAAGATGCATGCCAAATTGAAAATGACTAGTATAATAATTTGACATTTTATAAGAGAAATTAGCATTTATGATTTAAAAATGATTAAGTTGCAATTGATATAATCAGAATATAAAAAGATATAGTCATTCAAATTTATTTATTAAAACACTTATATCCTCCCTTTGCTTGTAGTTCAAGGATGTATACTTTTTTTGATCGGGTTTTCCTTAAAACGGTCCACCTTAAGTCCATTTAAAACGGCTGCTTCTCTTTGTTATTGTTTCATTTCCTACTTTACTGCTTCATTCTACTGGCAGGGGTCCAGGGCTAGCCACCAATCAGAGAGCTCCAACACAACAATCGCTTTAGTACCTAACCTTGGATGCCAGCCAGCATGGCACTTGGGTATGATTACATCACCATCCTCAGGGGACAGAGCTGGTTAGCTGTTCCAAGCTAAATTATTTTTGCACTTTCCCATAGGCTACAAAACCCTCTACTAATCAGCCAGCACAACAGAATCCAAAGGGTAGCAAAACAGCCCATTAAGAAGATGCCTGCCCAGGATAAAAGCAAAATAAATTCAACATCATAACAATGTTTTTTTAAACCTTGCTGAACAAAAAGAAACGCCCTGCTTTCGATAACTGATGCACTTATATTTCATTTCCATAAATATAATAAACATTTTCATTCAGTATGGACTATGTATAAATGTTATTTTCTCTAAAACAGTTCATAAATAATCTATTGATGCAGACACCAGTATATAAATAAAGTACTATTAGTAGCTACAAAATGGGATTACAACCCAGAAGGCTGTAGTCAGCAAATTACAGGCTATTTCTTAAAGTTTCAAAACATGTTTTTGTAGAGGAACAAAACTAGAAAACTGATTGGGCTAGCAGCAGATATTTTATTCATTAGATTTGTATCATTTCCTTCAATCAAAGGAAGGCAAAGTTGTAATATTAAATTAACTTGTGATGTAGACTGAACTGAGAGACAAGAACTTTTCCAAGGTTATTCCAACGAGCTCGTATCTGAGCAGCGGCTTGCAAAGGGATTTCCCATATAGAAGTTGACCACTCAAGTCAGCCCACAATGACAAATGTGTAGTGCTACCACTAGCATTTCTAGTTGTACTTCTTTGTGATTTTCTTTAGATTCTTTTACTGCTTCTACAACACTGCCTATTGACAAACACATTCATATTTTACAAGAAAGAAATGTAGTTCTTTGATTTTTGGCTCCTACTTGGACAAATGGGAAAGACTATGCTAACAATTTAGAACGGCTTTCATTTTTTAAAACAATGCATACTACTAAACATTTACTTGCACAGAAGATGGAGAACATTAAATAAAGTGTTTTATACTGTTAAGGATGGAAAGCCTTACTTCTTTTGTCCTCTTGATTTGAGTGGGACTGAGTTCTGCCTTGGAGTACTCTCAGAAATGCTATCGTTGCCTTCCCCAGTTTCACTCTTCTTTAAAGCCTGGTTGTTCCATGGAGTGATAAACCCTGGTGTTGGACTGAATTGTTTCAGTTCTCCTTGTCCTAATGAGCTTCGTTCCCCACAGTAACAAAAGGCGCAGAGATGTTCTCTGCAAGATACAAGGAGAGAGAAAAAAGGAACAATTTTTAAAAGCATTTAACTGAAGACACAGAAATAGAACAGTTTCTCTGGTCAAACAGGTATCTTGCTAGTGCTATCCAACAGAATATTAATGACTGATGAACTATGAAAATGTGAATTAAATTCAACTTCATCTTCAGTTCTCATCACAGAAACATCTGTTACATGATGAGAAATATACCATTACACCAGTGCTTCTCAAATGTTCAGAACTCACACCTATATCCTAAACCCTATCAGACAGGTCAAGACTGAGAATTATTGGCCCCAGGTCATCCCAATCCCAGCTGTGGCTGAACAGGGATATGAAATCAAGTCTCCCAGACCCTAGTGCAACCTTCTGACCACTATATCACAATGGCTCCACTTTTCCTTCTGGAACACACAAGCCACCATATCACTCCAAGACATTTTACCAACCGATGCAGAAAATCCAAACACTGCCCTTTGTCATAGAAGATGCACTACTAGAAGTTAAACGATAGCAACCAAAATCTTCACTTCAGCCCCCTCCTTGCCCTGGCCACAAGACAGCAACACAATACCGAGTGGGCTTATGAATAAAATTACAGATGCCATCTATTAATTGAATGTTGTTATTAATTTTAACATTGTTTTTAACTTTGTTGTACATTGGCCAGAGCCCTCTGCATACAGGGTCTGAGTGATTTATGATTCCAATACATAAATAAATAAATAACTCTGCTTCATAGTAAGACTGGCCACTGTAACTGTGTTGGGCAAATGAGCATAAAATAACACAGCTATATGTGCCTCAGTGACAGACACAGTACCTCTGAGGATCAGTTTTGTTAAATATTATTTTAGAAGATTCCCTTTTATGTTCACCTTCACTCTGTTATTTGACTCTAAGCCCAACACTTGATCTAATCTAATAGCACACTTCTTTTGATAACTGGAACCCATCTAAAAGAGTATTTGGCTGTATTTACATATCATAACAATAGTGGTTTATATTCCACTATTTCATTAAACTCTGGTTTAATGTTAGGTCTGAAGGCAGGATTCCTAAACAAACTATGGTTTGTCGGTTGGTGCTGACCCAGGATTCTAACCCACAGGTCACATACAACAAGTTTCTCTTTGGCCTTGATGAGTATAAACATGGCTTACTCACCATGCTTAAGTACCCCCTCCCTCCCTCCCTCCCTCCTGGCACAGCTTGAGGGAGAAAACAAGCTGCAAATGATCCAGGCACCTGTATTCAGGTGTCACAGCAAATGGTATTTTGAAGGATTCCCAAACCAGGAAGATTTCAATTGTACTCCGTGCACAAGGTGGGGGCGGTGGAGATAGGGAGAGAGTACACAAGCACAGCAAACAAGCAATGTCACTGCCTGTCATGAACACAGATTTGTCATGACTTCTAAATACAGTCAATTTGCATTTGGCTTTTAAGTGTGTTTTATCATTACAACTGAACGCAGAAATCCCAAGATTCCTCAAGTAGCATCCCCCCACTTGCTTCATGCAGAGAAGGCATATCAGGTGTATTACATACTGAAGATGACTGTAGAACTTGTTCATATCTTTTAAAAACCAGACCCCATAAGAGCCAACTGAAGCATATTTAGAGGAACTCCTACAAAGTTTTAAGAAAAAAATTGCTTGTGTACTGTTGCACTAATCTGGCTCGACCAAAAACTTATTCTGCTCTGCATATCCTACACTGAAGAGGAAAGCCTGGGAATCACAAAACTGGTCTTGTTTGCAGAAGAGCTTCAGGATTTCTGTCACTGTGTGACCTACAGACACCAATGATGACTCCTAACTTTGACTTCTATACTGATTCAAAAACAACTAAGATTTTTATAACACAACCCTATCCGTGTTTACTCAGACACAAACCCACTTCTTTTTAATAGGGCCTTTTCATTCATAGGCATGCAAAAGATGGCTGCCCTAGGCTTTGAGCAAATAAAGGATCTTATGAATATTTTCCAGTTCAGCTTGAGCAAACAAAAGCCTACTTTCATTTATCAAATTAAGTATTAAGAGATTTTTAAAAGCCTTTTTCCACATCCAAATATTAGAACACATTCAGTACTGTGCATAGCAGAGACCCTTCAAATAGGCACTGAAGTGAAAAAAAGACTAACAGAATCACATATAGTTGGCATATTTTCAGAACAACATTTTAAAATGGGACCAATGAGCAATAGCTGACATGTCACTACTCACCACTTCACATTTTATTAAGATGTCAGAGGAGTAAAACCATTATTTCTTTGTAGGCACTGTGGTGCATTATAAATTCTGATTCTGCATTAACTGAAATCTGTAACTAGCTGACTGAGTTGTCTCGCCAAATACTACTGGTTTTTGTGGAATAGATTTCAAAAACATACTTTGTTTCAGAAGAAAGAAAGAAACTTATATTGTATGTAGTTCCTTTCATGCCCATTTTTGTATGCAGCATTCCTGCTTTAAAGCTGAAAACTCACGGCAGGAGAAACAGCACATGCCTATCTGATTGTACCCCCTCTACCATGGAATAGTAGCACAATCATGCTAGTAACTCCTTACTCTATGTGAACTTACAGCATGACTAAGGCTCAAACATCCCTTGAAAAATGCCTTGTACCGTCTGTGTTTGTGTGAGCACACATGTTATAAATATGCGCACACAGCCCAACTGGCAGATTACAATCCCTAACTTTGCTGGGCCGTGATGGAACTTTAAGAGGGCGAAATGGAAAGGTTTCAGAGAAGATGTCTTGGATGGGTCCCTCCAACACATAATAGCTACCACCAATTTGTTGGAGCTGTTATATCTACAGCCAAAAGGCACATTCCTCAAGGATACGGGAAAGAATATATCCCAGGCTTGAGCGATCACAGCAAGAGGCTGTGTGATGAACAAGGTGAAAAACGGTCTAAGTGTAGGCAGTGGGAGAGGCTCTCTCTGATTGGTGAGCCGCTTCCATGACAACGGAATGCATCCAGGAGGGGAAAAAGAGGAGTCAGTTGGGGGGCAGTTGGAAGGGAGAGAGACAGTTGGAAGAGCTCGGTTCTGGGAGAGAGTTATTGAGAAGGGGCTTTTGGGTGGCTTCCTTCTGAGGGAAACCTCTCAGCCTATGGCACAGTGACAGGGTTTCACAGAGTAGAGGGACAGATAAGACTCTGTGGAGAGGTTTTGCCAGAGTCAAAAGGGCAGACCTCTGTTTAAAAGAGAAACACCAACACACACACACAGGAAAGGACTGGAGTTCTATTATCCAGGGGAAAGTCTTAGGGACAGACAGATCTCCAGCACAACTGGGGAGCCTTGAGTTATACATCACATTGTATATGATATGTAACATTACAACTGCCTGCCTATTGTAAAGAAATATCTTATACGGTTTATTGTTCTTATTATCCCTGCCTGACTTTTACGAAGCCTACAACAGTGTTATTAGTGTTCATATTGGGAACTGGCTGGTGGCCAACTGTTTAGACCATATAAAACCTTTGAAAACCATTTTCCCATTTCCCTACCTTTTTATAAAGAATAAATCTTACTTCTTATTTTATTTAAAACCACACTATCGGTGCCATTCTTTTATAAATGGTTTGGGCTCCTGAGGTAAAAGGTAAGGGGACGATAGAAGTCATATAGGTCCCCTTTACCACAGTGAGGAGGATACCTTACAGGCTGTATCAAAATTTCCTCGGCAGCAAACACCCTGAAGTAGCAGATGGATTAACTCAATGAACTCAACAAAGCAACTGGGAATTTGGGTTTCAGACATTCCAGTAGGAAAGCCTGGAGCCTGTTAAAAAAAACAGGTGCAAGCCCACCTGTGCTCTGAGGAGATCCAGTAATAACATCAAACCAGGTAGCTGCCTGACTGGTATCCCTATCCGGAGCTCCAAAGAACCGAGATTTTACAGTCAGGATAAAAAGAAGAACTCCAGATTTTGAAATGCATCTGCCCTGAAGCCTGCAAGGTGCCAGGGGATTTCAGTACTGATGAGATTTCCAAGCCACTGAAGAATATCAAGAGTGGAAAGGCACCAGGCTTTGACTGATCAACAGCGGCACGTTCACTAAGACATGGCTTGCAAGGTTTCTCACTGAAATCATGAGAACAGGAAGACTCCCAGGGGAATTAAAGAAAGCAAAGATAGTTGCTATTCTGAAACCTGGAAAACCAAAACATCTGGTGCAAAGTTACAGACCTATTTCCCTTCTGAGCTCCTGTTATAAACTCCTCAAGAGGCTAATTCTGAACAAAATCAGTGACAGAATTAACAAACATGTCCCTATAGAGCAAGCAGGATTTAGACCCCGTCGTAGTTGTGAAGAACAGGTTCTCAGCTTAACAAGTGTCATTCAGGCAGAGTATCAGAAGCATCTTAAAACACCGGCAGCTTTTGTCAATCTGACTGCTGCTTATGACACAGTCTGGAGGGATGTTCTGCTGTACAAGTTTTTACAAGTTTTCCCCTGCAGAACGTTATTTTGACTCATAAATAACATGCTGAGAGATAGAACTTGCCAAGTAATTCCAAGTCAGTCAATCAGCAAGCAGAAGAAACTGAATGACGGTCTACTCCAGGGCTCAGTACTCCCCTCCCTTCATATATATCTCTGATGCTCCCGAGACGATATCCAGGAAGTTTGCTTATGCCAATGATATGCAGTTGTAGTAAGGCACAAATTGAATGAAAGGACTGAGGAACCTTGAAATTTTGGCTACTACCATAAATGGCGGCTTATCCTAAACCCGGAAAAAACAGAATGCTCCTGTTTCCATCTCAATAACAATCTTGCTAACCGTAAACTGAATGTCTAACTTAATGGCACCCAACTTACACATAACCATACACCTAAGTACCTTGGCATTACCCTGGACAGGACCTTGAGCTACAAACACCATCTTACCAACATAGCAGCGAAAATACACATGTGCAACAACATTCTCCAAAATTATGTGGTACAACTTGGAGTCACAATTCCCTGTAGCATGTGTTTGTGCGCAATCTCACAGGGATTTCTCCCAGTGACTGAACAGCTTCTCCTCCTCTATGCACGGAGATTCCTCTGGGATGCCCGCCCTCCCACTTAGCCAGCCTGCCAGCAAAGGGGGCACTGGAGATCGCTCACGTGTGCTTGCCTGCTGGCCTGAAATAGGAGCTGCCCCCTTGCTTGCTTCTACCACGCTGCAGTTTCCCACGCAGCTCTTCCAAGCCTCTTCCTGGCTGACTGCTCCTGGAGAATATCACCTTGAAACATCAGCCAGCTGGGGTAGGTAGCAGATAGGCTTGGGCTGTGGGAAGACTGCCAGGGGAGGGGTGTGTGTGAAGCCTAGCCCTGGTAGCTGGCAGGGACTTCCAGTGTTCCTGTGGGAGGGGAGGTGGGAGGGGAAGCGGGAAGGGACACGTGGCCTGCGCTCACCATCTAAGGGCCTCCAGCAGGCTTGACGGGGAAGGAGGGGAGCATGTGGCTTGGCTCCGATGAGCCAGTCAGGGGGGAGAGGCAGGAAGGAGCACTCAGCCTGCACTCGTCCTCCAGCAGGCTGTGCGGCCTAGCCCCAACAAGCCCATGGGTGGGGGAGGCGGGAAGGAGTGCTCAGCCTGCACTCGCCATTCTAAGATCCTCCAGCAGGCTCCGAGGGGGGGGAGAGAAGGGAAGCATGCAGCCTGGCCCCACAGTTGGGAAGGACCTCCAGCAGCCCATGCGAAGGGGGCGCATGGACTGCGCTCACCATCCAAGGGCCTCACTCCAGCAGTCCCATGGGGGGGGGTGCATCCTGAGCCCACTATCCAAGGCTTCCAGCAGAGATGCCAGCCTCCAGGTGGGACCTGGGCAGGGATTCCCCCCCAAGTTATTACAGCTCAGCTCCATATAAATTAGTTCCCCTGGAGATAATGGATACTTTGGAGGGTGGACACCAGCATTCTACCCCACTGAGGTTCTTGTCTTCCCCATGCTCTACCTCAAAACCTCAGTTTCTCTGTTGGATTGAAGAATTTTCAAAAAAGCAAGCTGCTGAAAGCTGTGCAGCAAGGGCCAAAACTACCCATGGCACTTCCTGCATGGATGGTTATTATGGGGTAGGGATGCCAGCCTCCAGGTGGGACCTGGGGATCCCCTGGAATATCTCATCTCCAGACTAGAGCTCAGTTCCCCTGGAGGAAATGGATGCACTGGAGGGTGGACTTGGCATTCTACCCCACTGAGGTGTATCTACTTGGTTACATATTTGATATTATCATCTGCTTCCCATGTGCAACTCTGCCATATGTTAAATAAATAGGGATTCAGTGTTATGACTCAAGAACTACCATGAAGTTAAGTTATAGCCAGCACACTGGTGAACTGCAGAAATGCCATTAAAACATTACATGCATTTGCACTTTTCAGTGCAGCACAATCAGTTAGTGATGGAATTACATCCCAAGGTTAGTGGACAAGTAGCAGACATTTGGTTTTTAATCAAAATAATGCTGAGCATTTATACTCAGGCAATGAAGCAGGCCCAAGCCTGCAACATGGGAGATCTACAAAAATCAAGACAAGGCAAAATCAAAACTTAATTTGTGAAAAGAAACAAAATATGAAATCTATTACAGAGTGACTCTCCTCTGCAACTAGAGGGGTTTGAGAATTACCACTTTATCAGCAATTGTATACAAAAATGTGTATTTTGTTAACAGAAAGCATTTCTCAATTTAAAGTATCTGCTATCACATACAAAGCCCTTCATGGCATTGGTCCCTCTTGTTTGCGGGACTTCCTCTCCTCCTATGCTTCACTCATGACAACTTCCTCATGTCAACAGAATCGTAGAGTTGGAAGGGGCCATATAGACCATCTAGTCCAACCCCCTGCCCAATGCAGGACCAGACTAAAGCATCTCTGACAAATATTCGTCCAGCCTCTTCTTGAAAGCTGTCAGTGAAGGGGAGCTCACCACCTCCCTAGGCAGCTGATTCCACCTCTTGAATCACTCTGACCATGAAAACGTTTTTCCTAATATCCAGCCGATACCTTTCTGCATGTAATTTAAACCCTTTGCTTTGGGTCCTCTCCTCTGCTGCCAACTGGAACAGCTCCTTGTCCTCCTCCAAATGACAGCCTTTCAAATACTTAAAGAGAGCAGTCATGTCCCCCCTCAATCTCTTCTCCAAACTAAACATTCCCAGGGCCCTTAGCCTTTCCTCATAAGGCTCAGTCTCCAGACCCCTGATCACCCTTGTTGCTCTCTTCTGCACCCTCTCGATTTTGTCCTCATCCTTTTTGAAGTGAGTCCTCCAGAACTGCACACAGTACTCAAAGTGCGGCCTGACCAAGGCAGTATACAAGAGGGGCTATGACCTCCTGCGATTTCGATGCTATGGCCTTCTGCAGGTGCCAACCTGCAAATGGTTTAAAACAGCAACTGCCTGTATATGTACTTCCTCTGTTGTGGCTCCCACCTCATGGAATGGTCTCCCAAGGAGATCAGGAAGGCTCTCACTCTCCTGGCTTTTCACAAACTATACAAAACAGGATTATTCAAGAGGACTTTTCTGCACAGGTAATAGGGCTGTACTGTGCAAAATCTACAAAATTACTTGGATAAATTATTAGGGACTGTGGTCTATACTGCTGTTTATAGCTTATTGTAAGTGGGATCCTATTATGTAATTTTTGCATCACTTAATGTGTCCTGTTAATACCTATGCTATGCTTCAGTTCTTTCTGGTTGATTCCAGACTTCTACAATCCTACTGCGTTGTTTATTGAATGTCACATTTTATTGACTGTAGTGCGGCCTCACTATGTGTAATCCACCGGGAGTCCCTGTGAGAAAGGCGGACTATAAATAACATAATTAAGTAAAAATTACATTTTCACTATATTAAATCCATAACCATTTCCAAAATATATTCTTTCGAGTAATACGGATGGTGGCTTGCTAAATTTGTTAACGGGGGCAACCCTTAGAAGGTAGCTGTCTGCATAGGCTAACGGTACAAAGCAAAAAGTACCCTGATGAAAGTCTGTACTCTTATCATTGTCTGAATCATCTGTCCAAACTACAGCTGCCTAACCCCAATAATGACTTGGTATCTATCTCACTTTCTAACCTGGTTTTGGCTTCAACGCCAATTGAGGCAACGGAGCTTGCAGATTCCTCAGACACCGCGCGCTGAAGAATTGGTGTTAGCTTCTTGTTGCCATCCACTTCAGTGTGCGCGTCCTCCTCTGAAGATTGTTCTTTAACTTCTGTTTGACAAAGAAAGCAAATTGGTCAAAGGTTCCACTTTGAGGTGCTAAAACAGAATCTTACTTATTATTTCATTTATTTATTTAGATCATTTATACTGTCCATCTTCTGCTCCAGGAACATACAGGGTAGCTAACATAAACGTAAAATACAAACTAACTTAACATCCAATAACGTAAAACATGTTAATATTAAAAGACTAAACAGCTTGGCACTATCATATACTAGGAAAAAGGCCCGTTGTGGAAATAAATAAAACGGCATCTAGAAAGAGGCTCTGGGCAGGTGCCCCGGCCTTGCACACTCAGTGTCAATTTGCTGTGGTGACCTCAGCAGGGTATAATGACACTGAGTTCCCTTTTTCTCCAGAGGAACTGATCTCTGCTACATAAAGAACAGTTGTAATTTTGAGTGATCTCCAGCCCTCACCTGGAGATTGGCAACTATGGTTCCCCAGAAGGGAATGGTTGGTTTGGAGGGTAGAGTCTGTGGCTTTGTACCTGTCTGAGGTCCCACGCCTCCTGAAACCTCACCCTCTCCAGGCTCCATCCCTCACATCTCCAGGAATTTCCCACCTGGAGTTGGCAACCCCATCTCCTTCCCAGCCAATCATCAACCTACCTTTATTTCCCCCTCACTCTTCAGCTTTCCACCACCCCCACACACCTGTAGCCTCTCCTGTGCTCTGAAGCCCTGACTGCTACGTCACATTGGCTGTCATACGGGGGCCACCTCAGCAGCATATAAAGATACAGAGCCCACCATTTTCTTCAGGGAAACTGATCTCTGCCATCTGGAAAGCAGTTGTAATTTTGAGTGATCTCCAGCCCTCACCTGGAGATAGGACACATTTTACCTCAGAACAGTAAACTGTTTAGAATGTTAGAGGCAAAAGCCAATCAAGTTGCATATGCAAACGACCTCTGTGTTCCGAGGCAAAGGCCAATGAGGCTGCATATGCAAATAACTTCGGTGTTCTGACTGGCTATGGGGGGGGGACAGCAAACTGTTTAGAATGTTAGAGGCTAGACTCAAGCAATGCAGCCAGTGGATAGGGACAGATTCTGAGTGACACACCAGGGCGCCAACCAATTCCAGAGCATGTGGAATGTTCTAGAGTAGTGCCACCACCATTCGGCTTTTATATATAAGGGAGATGTGTATTTTTCTGGTTTATGTTTCAAGATACAGCCCAACAAAAAATGTGTGTCCCCTGCTATCAATGTTTCACTGATTTAAAAAATATTAGTATGTTTACCCTTTTAAACATTTCTTCACATACTTAATATTTTTATTATTAAAACTGTAATCATATGATCTGGTGCTGGAGAAGACGCTTGAGAGTCTCCTGGACTGCAAGGGGATCAAATCAGTCAATCCTAAGGGAAATCAACCCTAACTGTTCCCTGGAAGGCCAGATACTGAAGCTGAAGCTCAAATACTTTGGCCACCAAATGAGAAGGGAGCACTCACTGGAGAAGACCCTGATGCTGGGAAAGACTGAAGGTCAAAGAAGAAGGGGACGGCAAAGGATAAGATGGGTAGACAGTGTTATCGATGCAACAAACATGAAATTAAGCAAACTCCGGAGCATGACGGAAGACAGGAGGGCCTGGTGTGATGTGGTCCATGGGGTCGTGAAGAGTCGGACTCGACTGTGCGACTGAACAACAACAAAATCATATGACCAATATAGACAAGCCTGTATAATAGAGTATTCTCCAGTTCACTAAAGTACACAGAGGAGTTGAAGCTCGAATAGTTAATTTTTTAATGGACAGGGAATGGTTTCAGAGTCACAAAGGAAAGAGAAAGCGAGATTGATTTTGCCTGTTAATAGGGTTGCCAGTCAGTGCCAGGCAGCAGCTGGCAACCAGAGGAAGTCTGGAGGACACTGCTGGCATGACAGCATTACATCACTTCCAGGGAAAATGCAGAAGTGTCAACATACTGTTCTAGGAATCGCCAGAAACTCTGTGGTAATAGCATTTCCCCTGGAAATGATGCAACACCATCATGCCTACTTTGATTTTTTTTTAAAAATTCCACTGCAGGCACTGGAGCTGCAGCAGGCAATGAGAGCAGGAGACAGGAGATTCCCCCATTCCCAGCATGTACCTGGGATCACTATCTGCTAAAGAAGCTAAGAGAAATATGTACGTTTATTAACAACAAAGCATCTTATGCTTAAGAAAATACGGAAATTACAGACAATCTGGACAGATTTGTTTACTTCATTCTTCATTGTGGAGGATGCTGGGCAATTACCCATGCTGGAGCTACTATTTGGGGGGAAGGTTCCTTCAAACTCAGTCAGCTAAGCAGTCTCCAGATCCAGATGACATATACCCAAGGATTCTTAAAGAACTCAGATGAGAAATTTCCTCCTAAGGAAAATATGCAACTTGTCACTGAAATTGACCTCTATGTGAGGATTGGCAGTCTCTAAAATTCGATCATACAAGAGGTGGTGGCGGCTACAAGCATGGACGGCTTCAAGAGGGAATTGGATAAACATATGGAGCAGAGGTCCATCAGTGGCTATTACCCACAAGGTATAAATAGGAACTCTCAGTCTGGGGCAAGTGATGCTCTGTATTCTTGGTGCTGGGGGGGGGGCAACAGTGGGAGGGCTTCTAGTGTCCTGGACCCACTGGTGGACCTCCTGATGGCACCTGGTATTTTTGGCCACTGTGTGACAGAATGTTGGACTGGATGGCCATTGGCCTGATCCAACATTGGTTTCTCTTATGTTCTTATGATTTGAAAGCAGCAACCTTAAGAGCAATTTTGTTGGGGATCTTGTAAATTACTAGCCAGTTAGCCTAGCATCTGTTCCAGATACATCTGCTATATTAAAGATAGAATTATTAAGCATATAAAAGGACAAGCTGAAACCGAAAGAGCAGCCATGATGATTAGAAGTTAGAGCACTTTAACTATGAAGAAAGGCTAAAGTGTTTGAAATTTTTTGGTTTTACCAAAAAAAAAAGATGATTAAGGGAAAATATTTTTTAAAAGTTTTATGAAATTAAGTATGGCGAAACTGGAAAGAACTCCCTCCCCTTCAAAATACTAAAAATGGCACTGATAAATGAACATTGAAGGAGCAATGCTAAATAGGTCTACTCAGAAGTGAGCCCCAGAAGTGAGCCCTTCTCCCAGGGAAATGTTCCTCAGATTGTACAGTTAGTTCCCACAACCCTTATCTTGCCAAAATTCCAAATTTTATGCAGAACTCTTGGTCAAACCAAGAGTTTTCAAATTACAGTTTTGCACAGATGTTCAATATTTCAATTTTATACTTCAAATTTGTTTTGATTCTGGTGATAATTCTAAAGAATTTTTGATTGATACTAATGTAATTTCTCAAAAAAGAAGATAGACTTAGATGCAATAGACTAGGGACCAAACCAGCTTTAGAGTGTTTTTTATATAAAAAATAGTTCACAGGACTTCCCCCCACACTCCAAAATTTCCCAATTTTTCCATTGGAAAAACTGAAGAAGTACTCAGAATTTTCAATCTAGTGAGAAAAACATTGTCTTAAAAATCTTTTCACTCATTCAAAAATAGAAAATGTTTCCCAGGAGTTTTTTTTAGTGTCTCAATTTCTCCTGTTGGAAAAACTGAAAAGAAAAAATAAAGAAATCCTTGGGAGAAAAGCTGGTTTTCTCTGGATTTCCCCCCCTTCATTTTCCCCCAGACCTTTACATTGTTCATTATGGTAACCTCCACACTGGAGATACCTGGACTAGGAATGCTTAAAATGAACAAGAAAACATTTTCAAGGCCATTGAGGCAAGTCATTACTCAGTATAAGAAATCTTAGGTATGAGAAAATTTATTTGGCAGCAAAGAAATAAACAGCAGAAGTATCCTTGGTAATTGTGACATTTTTTGGAAAACAGGCATTTGCTGTAGCAAATGAAGTAAGCAGAATTAAACTAGAATACATTTACTAGTACTCAACATACAAAAGAGGATATGAGAATTTCAAAAAAAAAAAAATTGTTTTACAGTGCTGTCTAAACAACACTGATACAATTATTAAGGTTTCGTGAACTGACATGAATGTCTTTAGTCTCTAGAGGATTGAAACAACTAAGTATCTCCCAAAAATGAGACTAAAAATATACCCAGATCAAAATGCAACGAACAGTAACTTCTGTACTACAACTATACTACAACTATAACAGATTGAAAAGCTATACACAAAAATAAAATTAGGCAGCATGCAATATGGTTTAAAGTGCAATGCAACTGTTATTTATTCACCTGGATAAAAAAAATGATCCCTTCTCCCACTCCAGGTCCTACCTGGCATCCGGTGGGAGGCTCCTGGGTCCTTCCTGCCATGTGTGCTTTGTGCATGCAGTGCGATGATGTCACCGGGGATGTTGCCTTCAAAACCACAGAGTCTGTCCAAAAACTAGAGTGTCGCCCCCCACACTGGTGATGTGATAACATCACTTCTGGGTGACATCATTACATTAGGGATGTTGCCCAGTGACATCCATGGTTGGGGGTCGGGCTTCCCCTGCCAACCTGCGGTGAATCAAAGCCCTGAAAAGTGGGGGAACCCCCCCCAAGGACCTGGGAACCCTACCCGTTGACAAATTCCAGGAGATCCCCAGGGTGTTTTACAAGACAAACAAAAAGGAGTCTAAACATGTATGCCACAATACTGTGAAATAAAATTTAGATCCTTAACTAGATTGGTTGCTGTTTCTTCTCAATACAGGGAACTATACTGAATACCTCAAGGAAAGAAGCCTATACATCTTGAACAGTGCAGCATTTACAATAGGACACTAATCTGAAGCACCACATAGCTAAAAACCCACTTGCTTTGTTCAAAATTTAGTTTAATCAGGATGAAGACTGCTGTGCAACAGTCTTAAAAACAAATTATTTGATAATCACCAACATGAGGTTGGGTTTTACAACTCCTTTGTGCTAATTTATTCAAGTATTTACATCCCACTTTGTCTCCCTGGAATTAAGGCAGCGAACAACACAGCAACCAAGTTTCAAGGACATAAATGAACAAAACAGAAAGTGAAAATATACATGGAATATACCCCAGTTCCTGCTCATATATGAATAAAACAAATAGTACTAGTCCCAACTCAGATTCCTGAGGGATCCCACTACTTAACTCTAACCAGTACAAAAATTTTACATGCTTATTGACACTCAAAGAATTCTAAGAGATGGGTGAGGTAGGATTTCCCTTTGCAGAAGCCATGCTGATTCTTCTTTACAAAGCTCTTTTATGTTCTTTCTATTAAGCTTACGTTTCTGTTACATTTCTGTTAAGCTCATCTGCAGTCTCCCTATCCTCCTTCAGCAATCTTCTCACACAATTTTCATCTAATGGTCCAAAAGCTTCCCTTGCTGGTTTGCTACATCTGATGTAAAGAAGTTCTTGCCACATATTGATAATTCTAAGGATGTGATCCTCAAAATTCATTTTTGTTTGCCTTACCTCTATTTCTTTTGCCAGAACTTGTGCTCTGTCACATGTTTTTCATTAGGCTAGGCTTCTCCTTTCCAAAAAAGGTCCTCCTTCCCTTTTACAGTTTCTTTTACTCAACTCAATAATCATGCTGGACTCTTCCTGGCATTGCTCCTATCTTTCCTAGTTAGTGGCACAAAATTCTAGCTGAGTCTCTATTACTGTGGTTTTAAATAATGTCTAAGAATCCCAAAGAGATTTTATCCTTTTGACTCCTCATTTCAGTTTCCTTTTAACTAATCCTCATATTGTTGAGAAGTTGACATTTTTGAAATTAAATGCAGCTATGTTGGATTTTTCAAGCAACTTTCTATTCATGTGTATGTTGCATTCTACCGATTTGTGGTCAGTGTTCCCTGCTGGGTCACCCACCCTTGCCTCCTGCTCCGTATCTTGAATAATACACAAGATCACATCCAGGATCACCTCCCTTCTACTCAGCACAGATTAGAAACAGTCTATTCCTGAGAATTAACATGAAGCAGAACTATGCTGAAATGTGAACAGTGGAGATTACAGTTACACAAATTCCATTATTCCCAATAGCTCAACCAGTAGCAGGGCCTTTAAATTTTTAACACAGAAGGCTCACCCTGGATCATAACAAAAATCTAGATAGTGAATATTTTCCCATGTGAAACAAAAACCTGTACTTGTCAAGAAGATATGGAAGTAGAAAACAGGTGACAGAGGAAGCACAGCTGCTATAAGCGCTTTTACCGGTTTCCACAGTGTTTTCTGTTTCTGCTGCCTCCAACCCATCCATACTGTCTTCATCCTCCACGGCAGGTTTTCCTCTACTTCGAGGCCTATGAAATAAATGAAAAAAACTGTTCATAATATGATACAAAAAAGTGGTACAAAATCATTCTATTAACTGAAGTAAATAATGTTAAATTAATTCTAAAGTAATCATGCTGGTTGCCTCCTTGCTTCTCAGCACAATTCAGAATGCTGATTATGGCCTTTAATGCCCTAAACAGTTAGAGACCAAGGCGCTTTATAGATTTCTTATTCTCATAAGAGCCCGCCTGAGAATGAAGATCTTCTCTGTGAGCCCTCATTTTCTAAGAAAAAAAGCAACTTGAGGGATGGTGAAGGCTTTACAAACCAAAGTGGGTTGGGTTGTCTTTTTTCCTTCTTTTTGAGCAGCCACCCTACTCTCATAAATCATTCCTAAAAATAACTTAGAATGTTTACTCAAAAGTAGTTTGCCATCAGTGGGTGAGGGGCTGCTGTTAAAAGAAAATATAAGTCTGAAGACCCCCTTTGAGTATATGGAACTAAGTGCAGTGTTTCTTGAATTCTGGCCACAATATGACAACTTAAACAGCAGATTACCATTCAAAACAGGTTACTAAAGTGAATTTTAGAGGCAGCATGAGAAATATAGCAAAAACAGTTTGGGAGAACTAAGGAAACAGAGGTAACAACAGTTGTAATCTTCAAAACATTCACAACTCAGACTTCTAACCATAATAAAATCTTTCAAAGAAGCCTTCAATAATTTACTATTATTCAGACAGGGGGTTGCTGCTACAATCTTAACCACAATTACTTGTAAATAAATTAATTTAAATCAACATGGCATACTTCTAAACAAATGTGTTTGGATTAATGGCCCTGCTGCCACTGAAAATTTAACCACTGTGTCACCATTACAGATGGGCATGAGCCAGGAAAATGGAGGTGTATCCCAGTTCAAGGGGTCACATGAACCTTCACGAATCTCCACATTTACCAAACCAGTTCATTTTGTGAGGTTCGTGATGCAGTGCAGAGGGAGGGAGATCTGAGATTTTCCCTCCCTGCTTTGTGCTGGGGACAGATTCCCGAGGCCAACAGAGTAGAATGGGGGAGATCGCAAATCTTCCCTCACTTTTCTGCTGGCGGTGGAAATGGACCAAAGTAACTGTGAATTTGGATTTCAGGCATTCCAGTAGGAAAGCCTGGAGCCTGTTAAAAAAAAACTAAGTGCAAGCCCATGTGTGTTCCAAGGAAATCTAGAGGTAACATCAAACCAGGTAGCTACCCAACTGGTATCTCTATCCAGAGCTCCGAAGGACTGAGATTTTACAATCGGGATTAAAGAAACTTCCAGATTTTGAAATATACAGGCCCTGAAGACTGCAAGCTGCCAGGGGATTTCAGTACTGATGAGATTTCCAAGGCACTGAAGGATATCAAGAGTGGAAAGACTCTGACAGCATCTATAATGAGTTCCCGATCAACAGTGGCACGTTCACTAAGACGTGGTTCACAAGGTTTCTCACTGACATCATGAGAACAGGAAGACTCCCAGGGGAACTCAAGAAAGCAAAACAGTTGCTATTCTGAAACCTGGAAAACCAAAACATCTGGTGTAAAGTTACAGACTTATTTCCCTTCTGAGCTCCTGTTATAAACTCCTTGAGAGGCTAATCTTGAACAAGATCAGTGACAGAATTAGTGAATGTGTCCCTTTAGAGCAAGCAGAATTTGGACCCCATCATAGTTGTGAAGACCAGGTTCACAGCTTGTCACTGAGGTAGGGTATCAGAAATGTATTAAGACATCAGCAGTTTTCGTCGCTCTGACTGGCGCTTATGACACAGTCACTCAGCACGTTATTTAGGAGTAGAAATAATATTCTTCAGGGGGAAACTTGTAAGAACGTGTAAGTAATTATGGATCATTCAATCAGCAAGCAGAAGAAACTGAATGACAGTTCACCCCGGGGCTCAGTCCTCGCTCCAGTTCTTTTCAATCTATCCATCTCTGGTGTTTCCGAGACAATATCCAGGAACTTTGCTTATGCTGATGACTGGCAATTGCAGTAAGGCACAAATTGATTGAAAGGACTGAGGAAATACTGACTAGGGACCTCAAATTTTTGGCTGACTACTACCATAAATGGTGGCTCATCCCAAGCCCAGGAAAAACAGAATGCTCCTGTTTCCACCTCAACAATAATCTTGCCAACCGTGAAGTATACCTAAGTACCTTGGCATTACCCTGGACAGGACCTTAAGCTATAAACACCATCTTACCAAAGTAGTGACAAAAATACACATGCCCAACAACATTCTCCCAAAATTATGTGGTAAAACCTGGAGTGTGTCTGCTACAACACTTACGGTATATGCTCAGTTTTGGAGTTGGTATATAGTACTGTGGAATACGGTGCTTCAGTGTGTTTTAACAGCCCCCACACGGCCACAAACCTGATGTCCGACTCAATACAACAATGAGAACCATCCACAGATATACTAAACCCATTCCAACCTATTGGCTACCTACATTGTACCACCTCGCTCCCCGCATCTCTGAAGGCAAGATCCTCTTTTTCGTAAATATACAAAGATAACTGAAAACAAGAGAGTTGCCCATCCACAAAGACATGGCTGACGTGGGCCTATCCAGACTAAAGTCCTGACTCCCTGCAATAAGATCTGCACAAATCCTGCAATCACAAAATTTCAATTTAGAGAATGAATGGTTGCGAACATGGATGAAATCAGTTCCACCCAATAGCCATAATCTGATAAACACCAACAAGAGTCCCTGCAGGATCTGACTTGCTGCATAAACTATGCAAGATGGCTAATAGAATACAAACAGGCTTTAGCAGCTGGGCAGACCTGTTGTTTAAATGGGGCAAAATACCAGGACCCGAATACGATTATGGTGCAGCCCGCCAAACTATTTTCCATCTGTCACAGAAATGTGAGCATTGTGCTTTCCAGAGAGATGTGACAGAGCTCTTTATACTCTCCCAAACTGTGATTGAGAGGATTGAGAATTTGGATATTAGTATTTAGGGGATTGCCCAATCTGTCTGCATACTCATTGTATCTACTTGGTTAGGTATTTTACATTATTATATGCTTCCTGTGTGTAACTCTGCCATACAATAAATAGTTTCATTTCTGAATTTCTTGGATCTTATCCCAAGAGAAGCTAACAAACCAAATGCTCCCACCAAAGGTCCAAATGTTTTTTTATGTTGTGCATTATTATCTTGTCCTCCAACTATCTCAGAAAGGTACATATGTTCCCTCTTTGCTTTCATCTTATTCTCACAACTCCTATGAGGCAGGTCAGGCTACGACAAAATTCATGCAGTAAATTTTGTCACCAGGATGGAACTGAACCCAGGTCTCTTCAGTCCTAGTCCAACACTCTAACTATTCCACCAAACTGGTTTTCAAAATAGAAATACTGCATTCAAGCAAATGTTTATAATTGCCAAAAAAGCTGTTGTGACGACCCCTTAACTGGGGAGGTCTGGTTTTACTTTAAAAGTGTTCCTTTTATTTTATTTTACTGGGTATTCCGGCTGCCGCCAGGAAATTTAAGGCTTTCCAAACCTCTATAATATAATATTTCTGTCACTGGGTAGGTAAGTCGAGGGTTTAGGCGTTCACGAGGGTCTATGTGTTTCCTGGGAAGAATTTCTTTCAGAACTGGTATCTTAAATAAAAGTAGATTTATTGATATTTCACACACTTTTCTCTCCCACTGTCAGGGATCTGGGCATGTAACTTTGTAACACTTTTTTACCAATCACACCACTTGCTTGTTTCCACTACTCTAGACTATCATACAGCCATGCATCCAAACTTTTAAAGTCACACACACACAGTTAAACATGAAATCGTTACAGCTGTACACAATAAACCCAAGGAAGCATGGTTGTAAAATGAAACTGAGTTAGTGTGACATTAGTTCTAAGTCTGTAAGTTTCATAAATTAGTTTTTAGCCAAGCACTTCTGTGCTTTTAATTACTTTCTCTCTCTAAATATCAAGATTGTACTACATTACTCCTGAAAGAAACTTTGGGGCCTTCTTTTAACACTGAGATTATTTCACATGGGAAAACACAGCTGAAAATATATGCAGTTTTAAAAAAAGATGGATAATTACTCCACGATTAGTCCTTCTGAACAAAGTTATTAAATTAAAGGGTATCCCAACCAGTGTTCCCTCTAAGCTGAGTTAGTGTGAGCCAGCTCACAGTTTTTTAGCCTCCAGCTCACACATTTTTGTCTTGGCTCAGGAAGGATGGCTCCAGAGCAAACTAATTTATGCAGTAGCCAAATCGCCTGCTCACAACTTTAATGCCACTAGCTTGCAAAGAATTTTTGCTCACAAGACTCCGCAGCTTAGAGGGAACATTGACAATAACAAAAAACAACAACAAAAACCACACATAAAATGGGGTCCCATACCACCACTGATTAAGAAAGGCAGTCAATGTGATATAACAGCTAAAGTCCTCAAAAAGGATTGAGATGGAAGAGATATTACAGATACCCACTAGTTACAGTAGCTCCAAGACATATGCATACTAGCAGGAAGGCAGAGTATGCAGAGTACATCATGCGAAATGCTGGCCTGGATGAATCACAAGCCGGAATTAAGATTGCTGGGGAAAAGATCAACAACCTCAGATATGCAGACGATACCACTCTGATGGCAGAAAGTGAAGAGGACCTCAAGAGCCTCTTGCTCAGGGTAAAAGAGGAGAGCGCAAAAGTGGGCTTGAAGCTCAACATCAAAAAAACTAAGATCATGGCATCCGGCCCCATCACTCCTTGGCAAATAGAAGGGGAAGTCGTGGAAGTAGTGACAGACTTCACGTTCCTGGGATCCCAGATCACCGCAGACTGTGACAGCAGCCATGAAATTAAAAGATTTCCTTGGGAGGAAAGTGATGGCGAACCTAAACAGCATGATAAAAAGTAGAGACATCACCCTGCCAACAAAAGTCCGCATGGTCAAAGCAATGGTATTCCCAGTAGTCATGTATGGCTGTGAGAGTTGGAC